CTGTCATTTGTCTTGGAGTTCATTCCTACTGTTAACTTGCCGTCCTTCTAAATTTTGCTGCTTCATCGCTGTCTCTCTGATATAGTGCAAAATGTTTACCAACTCTACTTCATCTAAATTTTGCGATATTTTATGTTGCGATTTTGGAAGACAAGTTAGAAGCCGAAGAAGTGTGGGAAAAAGAGCGTTTCAACCATTAAATTTTTTACTAATTTCCTCTCCTTAGTGACTGTTAGCGGTAAAAAACGCTGGGAAAGTTTTCTTAAATGTTATCCAGTGACTGTTGTTGTACAAAACCATAGAATTATTCACAAAACTAAACCATTAGCAGGAAATGTCTACGTAGCTTTCGCAGCCATGTGATGAAACAAATACAGTTTTATAGCATTTGTATTTAAAAAAATACAACTTTCAATATATTAATACTACGGCATCCCCAAGTTCCAAGAGTTTTTTTTCCTTTCTTATGCCAGCTTTATCGTATCATCAGAGTTACAAATTAGGGTTTCATTGGCGATTTTTATTTGTGGCCGTAGAAGACAGCATCCTGGTGCAGTTTTCCTGGAAGCATTATTGCAGTAGTGCGCAAAAACTTGCCAATTTCACAACAGCATTCAGCACATCATAAAGTGCAGTTAGCAGTGCGCAGATAGGCTCTTTTGCAACTGCATAATCGACGTGTACTGGCAAAAGGATGCGAACCACATCCGCCATACGACTGGACAAATCGAGCACTTTGACAAGAGCATCATCCACTGAAAAAAGGGAGAAATAGAGCAGCAGAAAAAAAAAAAACAAAATTAAAAAAATCCGAGGTTTTTAAATTTATCAAAAATTCTAATAGCTTTTGGAAAAAGAGGCATATCCTCAGCAAAACCTGAAAATTGTTTTTGGAACATATTTAAATTCCGCAGTTAATATTTTTGAAATTTATTAATTACATTTTATTTTTAAATTTATCTTGGCTAAATCGAATGGCTTTTTTTAAGACAGATTATGACATATTAAAAAAAAAAAACAAATACCCCCTCCCCCCGGACTATCAGTGTAAGTATCACATGACAGTGATTATTACGTCGTTGCTCTCAAAGTTGAATTATCTGGACCGAAAACGAAGAGGTGGAAGGGGCTTTCATTAACGAGGTATAGGTATTTACCTATGGACCGAAACATTCCTTACCTATTACAAATATTTCCTTAGATACCTTTCCCATCTTACTATCCTTTTTCTCCTTTTCTTTGTTTTCTTTTCCTGATATTTTCTCTTCAAACTTTAACAAGGACGAAGATTGTACGCTGGACGAGCGACTGCGAGGCCGATCTTGACGTGACGACCCGACCGTGTTAGGGCAAATTTATTATACACACTAATACAACAGCATGTATTCATCGTTAGTCAAGATCACAGATTATCAACACAGAGTCGAAAGCTTGGTGCTTGCCTCCCTATAGATATACTCTACACATACATTTGTACTAATTATCAGTGATTTTAATGGGATGTTTTCCTATTTCAAATGCAGCTATGCTAGGTCGTTTGAACTTATACTGCAAAAATCCAATTAATACTTACTGCTACTCCATGTATGTGCGTCACCTCTTTAAGTACTATCCGAATGATCGTTTACTATTTCGTCAGTATTACTCATTAGTACTGGATGCCACTTAATAATGCTTATAATCAAAAGAGAATAAAACATCTGAGATAAAAAAAAAAAAAATCATCTCCTTTGATACTGTAGCAAGAGAAAAGGTACAAAATGGATAAAACAATAAAATTATTGAAAACAAATGAATAACCAAAACTCAGGAAAAATGTGAATTATCTAATAAGAATAATAATAATAATTTAATAATAACTAAAAAAAATAATAATAATCTAGTATCTAATAAGAATTGGCTCAATGTTTGATAAATTAAACGATTGAATTAGGCCTCACAGCACCATCATCATTCATTATTAAACACAGTAATATTAATGTGATAAATTAAATCATAATAATTGTGCCATCATTTATCACGATAACTAAAACATGGCAATCTGCATTATAACTATTATTGTTACCATGATAATTAAAATACAGTGATTTGTATTAAAACTATAATCGCCATCAATCGTTATGTAAATCAGCAAAGGAGACAAAACCTGACGGCATGAAGATTTGTGAAATCATTTCAACAGCCAGCCGAGCATCCGACAATGAAGCCGAGCAGGCA